TTTTTCAGCTTTCTAATTTCTTCTTTTGGTGTTTGCTCTGGGTTATAATTTCCTGTGCTTTGCCGTCTAAGTTGAATATTCTTTCTTCTGCTTCACTGATTCTGTTGTTAAAGCTCTCCACTGTATTTTTTATTTGTTTTATGAATGTTTCATTTCCAAGATTTCATTTTGATTTCTCTTTAAGATCTTAATTTTGTGGGAGAAATTTTCTTTCATGCCATGTATGGATTTCATTAGTTCGTGTATTTGCATTTTGATTACTTTTTAAGTAACACGATAATCAGTTTTTTGAATTCCATTTCTGGCATTTCTTCAATCTCGTCATCTTCACAATCTAGTATTGAGGTGTTGTGTTCTTTTGGGAGTGTAATGTTGTCTTGCTTGTTCTTGTTTCTTGGATTGCTGAGTTTGTTATTTGTCATTTGTGAGGATACTCGTTGGTTTCTTCTTTGATTTTTTTTTCATGTGGTGGCTTTTATCTTTGGGCTATGTCTGTTGGGATTAGTGGAGTGTCTGCTTTTAGGGAATAACTAGAGGCAGATGGTGGGAGTGGCCAGGGAGCTCTGTTCAGTGCTCCAGTGTGAAAGGCATGTCTGAGGTGACATACCCTGGTTTGGTGTGGTAAATCTTTTTTTTTTTTTTATCCGAGAGGAGTTTTCTAATTGTCTGTTGGTGTAGACTCACCTGAGCTCTTCTCCTTGAAGGAGACCAGTGCCTGGGCACTAGCCGCTGTGAATATATTATTCATCCTCTCTGCCACAAGAACCACACAAAGGATCTGTGCAATCCTCAGTATAAGCTCGGATTCCCCAACAATGTTTCTTGTCAGGTAACCAGGGAGCCTCCCACAGTGACTGCCTAATGTCCCAGCTACACCCTGAGTCCTCCCATGCATCCTCAGTGTTTTCACATCCCTGGCACACAAGCCTCCCAGAGTCATGAGCATCCAGCCCCTGTCTATACTCCCCACCATACTCATGAGTCTCTGCTTGGCTGGTTGCTCGGCGCAGACATGAGCTGGAACAGCTGTTATGTATGTCCAAAATGGCACCTGCTCTCTGTCAGCTTGTTACAGGATGCCTTTGCAGCATGACTGGAGAGAGAAAAAAACATGCTCCCCTTTTTTTTCTCCTCTGGTTTGGTGTGTACACTATCTCTCACTGGGCTCCAAATTGGATTCCCTCTAGGCTCTTCCTGCAGCTTTTCCACCAGTGGCTTAAGCTGCTGTAGTCTAGTCTCACCTCACTCTACGATGCTGGTGCAGAGGCTCTCGGCTGGTGGGGTCCTAAGTTGTGTGCATCTTTGCCTTCCATGTAGGTTCACTGTGTTCCTCCAATTTATGTAGAGCTTCCTCTCCTGTTTTCTTCCCAACTTTTCCCTGAGACTGCACTCTTTCCACTTTTTAAAAACTATATTCTCCTAGACTCGAGCAGCAAACTCCCTCCCTACTCTGCCATCTTAATCTTCTAAAATTTATAATAGTGCTTTCTCCAGATTTGCACAGCCAAAAATCAGAGAAAGGAGTGTGTATATGTTACTGATAGTGGTCCATGTTCAGATACAACTTTTTCATTTGGAGTTTGCAAAGTAGCAGCCCACAGATGTGTTTTGTTTAGATTATACAATATTTTACAAATTTCCAACTTGTTTCCCATCTTTAAAAATCTGGTTTTCTCACAGAAGTCTGGATTTTTGGCTTCTCTTGAGAAATCAAAGATTGGGCAATGCTGGATTCACCTTCCCACATGACAGCACTGGGGCTGCATATTGAGTGACCTCCATCCCTGCCTTGGCTGCCATTCCATTCATTACAGCCCCTACCACTTCCTACTGGGCCTCCTCATCTAGGAAGAGTGTGCCTTGGTCTTTTCCAACCTGTGCTTGACTTAAATCCTGCATAAATCACATTCACTTGATCTCTCTTATATATGGTGAGCAATCAAATTTGACATCATGAATTCAGGTTGAAATTCTGAAACACTTAAAAATACATTTCTTTATTTGAAAGGGAAGAGGGAAGGGAGAGAGAGAGAGAGAGCAAGTGAGAGTGCTCCTCCATCTGCTGGTTCACTCCCCAAATATCTACAATAGCCAGGACTGGGCCAAGTTTAATCCAGAAGCCAGAAATTCCATCAGGGTCTTCCATGTGAGTGGCAGGTGTAAATCAAGGCTTCACCTGCTGGGACAAATTACCCCTAAATTCTCTGTGCCCCACTTTTTTTGTAAAAGGGGTAACCTAATTCCTTCATAGGATTAGTGTGAAGAGGAACTATGATTATGTTGGTAAAATACTTGACATAGAGTAAG